TGAAATGATATGACCCAGCCAACACCAGAGAAGAGAGACACGAGGGAGGAATATAAATAATATGGCAATATTGCTGACAACGGCGGGGAAATCGTAGGTCTTAACGTGAAGCGATTGGTAAATTAAGCGACGGCCTTGTCGCCGGACGGAGGGGCAGGAGGAAGCTAAAGCAGTGGCAAGTCAGTACTCAATAAGCTTCAGCGATGAGGTGTAGCCTTTGCAGGTCGAGTGGCCACACGACATCAGAGACAAATGCGGGGGATGATCTCACCTCTAGTTTTGTGTTGTCGGCCATCATTCTCTGGAAACCGATACCGACACCCTCAATGACAGCCAGGAAGACAGCGCACATGATAGCGGAGTTTCTGGCAGCCTTGACACCACCACGAACGGCCAAAGCACCACCAGTGAAGAAACCAGCAATGACTGCAAAGTGGATCGTTAGATATGACTCCCAATTCCAAGGCGCATAGAAACATCGTAGCCATCCCTCACGGATAGACCGGGAAACATACTAGCATTGTAAGGATCCTCCTTCTTTCTGATACCCTTGATCGCACAGTCGAACGTCGAGAACATACCACCCCAAACACCGAAGTTACCACCGAGAACCGGCGCACGAGCCTTGATGGCTGTGATGGCACCTATCCGACGCTCTCCGTAGGGGCTGTTTCTGAAACCCTTCACACCGTGCCAGACAGCACCACCAATTGCCTATAGAGACAGAGTATATTTAGCTTTTACCCTTTGGTGACAAACACAATCAATTGGGAGAACCAGTGACGTACACCCATACAGAAAGCACCACCGAAGTCGCTAAGAGCAACCCAGGGGCAGGGATCTCTGGAGTGATCCATATCGAATATGAAGGAAGAAGAGAGGACCGGAGAAGAAGGAGGGAGGTGAGTGGAGTCGTAAGCTCGAAGACCTGCTGTACTGGTCGAACTGCACGGATCAAAGGAAGTGTAGGTCGAAAGAAGGTGACTCCAAGCTTATCCGGACGAGGGTCGGAACGCTGGGAATGAGATAATCGATAGTCGGGTGATGAGCCTCAAGGGGCAATCGGGATAGGATGGAGGAGTTGAGGAGTTCAGGTCGGAGTGACAGGCTGGATGCTGTCTTTAAAGAACAGAGTCTGGGGTCCGGGACGGAGAGGATGGCGGATCGCGACAGTAAGTTTTTGGCTTTTTTCGCCGGGAAACGTGACTTCGGACGGGGGTCGCAGTCACGTGCAGATAACCACCCGAAAAGTCCCATCCGGGCATCCAAACAGACCGCGCCCTGGTTTTCGTGGCTGTGGCAAGGACCTCTAGACGCCGGGATGACAATAGAAGAAAAACCAAGCAGGGATATGCAGGTTAAAGTTTTCCTGTGCTTTGTTTGGCGGAAGTGACGCCCCGTGCATTGAGAAAAAAAAAAAGTGCTATTTTAATATCCTGAAGTGATCCCGCACTCCTTGATTTTGCTATTTACAAGAATGCTATGATGGCAGGTTCCAGATGAAGTTCAATGCTCCTCCTTCATATGCCGGAAATTGTCCACCAGTGCTGATACCGAAAGGTGCCATCGACGGATCAAACGGCAACGAGAGCCAGTCGTCGGCGGCGATGCCGCTCAATGATGGAATGAAGTTCATGTCTGTCACATTCTGCGACACAGGGACGCCCATAATTGCGCCGTTGTCGCTTTCCATGCTGTGAGAAGGCGCCATTGAGGGCTGCGTAGTTGTCCTATGGTTATGCTTCACCGATTTGGAAGAAGCCAACAGGTTGCGTCTTAAACGCGATACGTGCATCTCTAGTAGAGCAGCATACCGAGAGCTTAAATGAATGTCATCGAGCGCATTAGACTTAAGCGCCTGCACGCTGCGATCGAGAATGTCCAGCGATTCACGGAGCTTTGCAGGCCGGGTCCCTAAACTAAGAGCCTTCATCAGGAAAATGGAGGAGCTAGTGACTCGAAGGAAGATTCGGACGGGGGAGAAACGCAGAGCCCCGGTTTCACCCAGTTGAGCCACTTTTTGTAGTATTTGACAGCAGCCTTCAATAACCTCTTGGATATACTCATAGTCGATCGGATCAATATTGGTGGCCCGGACGTCTTCCGCATTTGGTTCACTGTCTGCAACGGCACGTTCAACAACTGCCTGCATCCCTACCGAATGGGTATAGACGCGGACAAAATGATACTCAATGAATAGAATATCGAAAAAGTGTTTGCTAAGAACTGGAAGAAGTTAACATCATCGACAATAGTAAGACGAAAGACCGCTTAATCTCAAGAGACGATGCCTACCTTGTGGCCGGAGATGATCATCTTTCCACCTGACAAGTAGCGTACGGAAGTGATCCAACAAGTCGATGTACCTTCCACTATGGAACTGCTGTCGCGCAAACGATACGGAAGGAAAGAACGTATCAGTAACAGATTTTGCCAGCTTTGTAAGATCCATCCAGGAATCCATAAATGCTAGCCACTCGTCTCCCGGTTGGCTCAAAGCCCTGCTGATTTGTCGACCTGCAATAGCATGGCTTAGGCTCTGTGGCATAAGTGATACACAACCTATTCGCCAGGCTAGCTGGTTGATATATACGTATAGAAGCCGTTGTACGCGCTGCCTGCGGAGCTTGATCTGGTCATCAGATATAGACCCTTCATATACGGAAGTGTAGTCGCATTTCTTATCATCCAGCTCGAAGATGCCAAGCTCATGCGCAAGCGATAAAGCAGAGCCAAGCAACATCCATGACATTTGATCTGATCTCTTGGCTGGCTCGATCATATCCTCGAGCCACCTGTCGGCCGATGAACCTTCCGATTCTTGGTGCTCTGGGGCCAGCACCAAGTCGGAATCCCATCCATCGCTCTCGGGTGGAAAGTGGAGAGACCTAGGGTGCCATTCTGACATCAGTAAGAGAGCCTCGATCGTGCCTATGCTCCTTATCCGAGTCTGAGACGACTTCTCCTGGCCAAAGATTAGCCGCACCACCAGCTGCTGGCAATGCTGCCAGAGTCGATGGTGAATGAAGAAGTTTCTGGACTCGCCGCCAGCCCCTGGCAATACATGGTATCGTGATGAAAGCATCAAGATTGTACAGCACAAGACAGGGTCCCGTGTCACGAGCCAATGGTGATTATTGTGGTCCGCATAAAAGTTTGTTAAGATCGGGGATAGCGGTGTCATATTCTTGAAAAACCTGGCATTGTAAGTAATTTTCAAATGCGCGTCTACATATCTGCACTAACTGATCAATTAACGTGACCGCTTCTCTTGAAGTGAACCACCCCATCTTGACAAAGCGACAAGTCTCCCAAACACCGAGAACCTCTTTCGAGACAGGGGAAAGTTTGACTGGACGCTTTGCCTTGGCTATAGCCTCAGCAGCAAACATAGTCTGCGCATGATCACCGGAGTGGTCTACGTCGCTGGCTTGTGCCGTTGAAGTCTGTGTATTTCGTGATTGTGTCTCGGATCTATTGGAGCTGTTTTCTTGGCTGTGAACTGCTGCTGCTTCGAAGAGAATATTAAGCGCATCGTTTCCACTTGAGACCACGGTACGCATCATGGAATTTGCCAAGGTAGACGTGGAGTGATGACGGTCACGGCGTCTCTCGGAACTGTATGGCTGCTGTGGGCTGTTATAGCTATTCCCGCGTTTGCCATTATCACGAACCGGGCTGTCATCAACCACCTGAAGTACATCGTCCGGGATGTCTCTGCTACGTCTGGGAGTGGCTGATAGCCTTCGGCGTACACTTGAAGGTGGCGTGACGCCTTCTTCAGACGGTCCTACTCGGTGTCAATCATCTTGATAGTAATGCCGGAAGGGGTTGGCATCGCGCACCTCGCTTGTTTGTCCTCTCCCACGCCCTCTTCTCGCTAAACACACACTCCCTCTGCTCTCTACGACATTTCGCACAGGGCGGTCCTAATGGGAGACCTTCCGAGTCTGTTCCCAGATCGCATTTTGCCTTTCTCTGACGACAGGAGAGACAGGCCTTGTAGGTCCGCTGGTATGCCCGGTTCAAGGCGTCTCCGCTGCGGGACGGCCCCCTAACTTCCATTACTGAACGCGTAGCGGCCCGGCCAATAGCATTTTCGTGATAAGATTGAGGTTGCAATAAAGAGACCCGGATATTTGGCTGGCTAGAAAAGGGCTAGATTAGGCGGGTATCAAAGGTTCGCTGGGAGCGGATATTGCAGGTGGGAAGGGGAAAAAGGGGGGTGCAGACTGGTGGGGAGCCGCAAAATACCCGCCGATTGCCGCGGGCGGAGGCCTGAAAATACCCGAGCCCTTTCACCAAGCCGGGCAAAGGACAGAGATATGACAGCTGACCTCGTATACTCCTCCGTAGATACGGCCCATTGGACAGCCAGCCAAACGCAGCTGGAATCCCAATCTCACTATCAAGGTCGAAATGGTGTCAAAGATGGTCGGTATTTGCTGCTCATGGTGTCATCGAGAATTGCTACGGCGAAGTCCGTATACGCTGCATGTTATGTCATCGCCTGCACAAACCAGCACCATCTTGGTTATCAGACTTTATGCTGAATGCGACGCTGTATGCCAGGGGTATGCCAAACCTAACCGTTTTGGCTCTCTGGGATCCAGATTTTAGCTCTTGTCTAGAACAGATCCTCGAACCAGGCAAACATAACTGCCGTGACGTCAACTAAGCCCAAGAAACGAGCAGCTCGAACTCGGGACCCGGCAGCGCCCCCACTCCTTCATTCACAAAAAGAGGATTCTGAGTGAAAATCCGATTCACACTATAATGCCCATGAATATCCTTGTCCAACCCGGCTGTCTGGACAAAGTGACTCCTCGGGAAGACGCGGCAACCCACGCGCGTAGCTCCCAGCCCGGGCCTCCATCCCTACGGAACGCTTCCGCAGTATACGACTAGCAGATGCATATGATTCCAACTACCACCAAGAATATAATGGATATAGGCAATATCTCCCAAAGTAACACGGATATATTGTGTAAAAGAATGATCACACGCAGGTACTGTACTACACACACCCCGCAGCGGTCCAAGCCCTCCGCACCTCCGCTGCAACCTAATACGTACATAGAATGGTAAGCTGTAACCCATATAACCCACATACTAGCCTACTAGCTGCTACAACTACTGCTACTCGCTACACGCTACAAGCCTCTATACTACGCAAGCCTACAAACCTACAAGCCTAAAACTACATTCTACATAGCCTACCCACCTACATCTCTACAAAACCAAAATGCCCGAACAAACCATAACCCTCCACACCTACTTCCGCTCCTCCTGCTCCGCGCGCCTCCGCATCGCCCTCAACCTAAAATCTATCCCCTACACCTCCATCCCCATCAACCTACTCAAAAACGAGCATCACAGTAACCAAAACACATCCCTAAACCCCTCCGCCAGCGTTCCAACCCTCATCATCGAGAACCCCGAACACACAAATGATGGAAAGACAATCATAATCCCCCAGTCCCTCGCGGCGCTGGAATACCTCGAAGAAACCCACCCAACAGCACCACCCCTCCTCCCAGCCACTTCCGATCCCACGGCGCGCGCAACAGTTCGCACCCTAGCCAACATCATCGCCTGCGACGTGCAGCCGGTCACGAACATGCGGATCTTGAAGCGGGTGGCGCCGCTCGGCGTGGACAGGGAGACATGGTCGAAAGAGTTCGTAGAGGATGGGTTCCGGGCGTACGAAGCAATTGCGGAGAAAACGGCGGGGAGGTATAGTGTTGGGGATGAGATTACCTTGGCGGATGTGTGTCTTTTGCCTGCTGTTTGGGGGGCGGAGAGAGTGGGTGTGGATTTGGGGAACTTTCCGGTTATTAAGGGGGTGAGGGAGAGGTTGGAGGAGGTGGAGGCTGTTAGGAGGGCGCATTGGAGGTGTCAGGATGATACGCCGGAGGAGTTTAGGGTTGGTGATAAGCAGTGAGATAGGGAAAGGTTTTGGTTTGGAGGGGTGGGCTAGATAAGTGTGTTTTGGGATTGAAGTGGTGGGTTTCATAGTTTTTCTTTTTCTTTTTCTCATTCTATCTAGGTTTGGACTGACTTTAAGTATAAGTTCGGGTTTGGTGGGTCTGGATCTGGATGTTACGTCTACAGTTTGAATTGGCTCCGTGGCTCCGCGGACTATTAGGGGGAAAGGGTCTGGACCAGGATTTTCTCTTTTGAATGTAACTTTGTCATTGTTGGGTTCACATTCACATCATGTCAATATCGAGGAATATAATAGGCAATGGGATTCATGACGTGCGATCGTGCGAAAAGGGACTTGAAATTGCTAATTGCAGTCTAGAACTCCAGCTTCACCGCGGGGAGAATGGTGGCACTGCAGTCGCCAAATCCGACGTAGTTGCCCTCTGTGCCCGCCTTGCCTCTGAGGACGACGGTGTCTCCGTCTTCGAGGAATATCCGCTCCGAGCCATCGGCCAGCTTGAGAGGCTCCTTGCCCTTGGTTTGCTCGAACAAGCTGCCCTGTGTCTGGGGCTCCGTGCCGGAGATGGTTCCACTACCGAGCAAGTCACCGGGCCGGAGGTTGCATCCCGTGATGGTGTGGTGGGCCAGCATCTGAGGGAAGGAGAACAAGAGGTTCTTGGCGTTGCTTCGCGAGACGGTGGTAGGCTGGCCGCCTTGGTTGGTGATCTCGAATTCGAGGGGAATGTCGAAGACGTTGTCGGTGCGCTTCTCGCGCAGGTAGGGCAGGACGTTTTCCCGGTTTTCGGGCTCCAGGCTGGGGACCCGGAAGGGTTCTAGAGCGTCGATCAGGACAACCCAGGGGGTGATGGTGGTTGCAAAGTTCTTGGCGTTGAACGGTCCCAGAGGAACGTATTCCCAGGCCTGGATGTCACGAGCGGACCAGTCGTTCATGAGCACCAAGCCGAAGATGTGGTCTTCGGCGTTGTTGACAGAGACGGGCTTGCCCATGTCATTAGGGGTGCTGACAAAAGCAGCCATCTCTAGTTCAATGTCGAGTCTCTTGCAAGGAGAGAAGGTAGGGACTTTGGGGGTTGCGGTAGGGTTGGCCAGGATCTGACCGTTGGGACGGTGAATGGGGGTGCCTGAGACCACGATGGACGAGGCGCGACCGTGGTATGCGACTGGCAGGTGCTTATAGTTGGGCTGCAGAGCATTGTCTGGTCCACGAAGCAAGACACCCAGGTTGTAGGCGTGGTTGAGGCCGGCATAGAAGTCTGTGTAGTCTCCGATTTGCATGGGAAGATGGTTGGTCACCTCCGATAGCGGCAGGAGGGCCAACTTTTGGAGGGAGTCATTGTCTTTCAAGACCTGAGGGAAAGGAGTATCTGCGCGGAAAACGGACTGAATGTATTCGCGGACTTGACGGTGAACTGGACGGCCCAGGGCTGCAAAGGCATTGAGGGTGGGTTGGCCGAACACGTTCAAATGGGGCTGGATCGCGGGCAGCTGGGAGAAGCCGCCGGATGAAGCAAAGGCGTTCAGGTTCAGCGCATAGTCACCGATAGCAATAGCTGCTACGCGCGAAGGAGCTTTCGCAGAGGTGATGATACCGAATGGAATGTTCGCCAACGAGAATGGCGAGTTCTTGGGGATCTGCAGCCAGGAAGCCATGATGAGAAGGGAGGCGGTTAAGGACGGGAGAAATGATGAAAAGAAGGGAAATGCAAGTAGTCAGTAGCTATCCAGCAGCAACACCGAGACAACTGCGATGCCGATGTTAAAAACGAATCCTGTGACAACTACCCCTCGAGGGGTTCCGATGGAGGAGAGGAGGGCAGCGGAATGGACTCCGCGCCCGCTTATTGCCGGCCGGCGCGGGCAGTTCAGCTTCCCCGCCGGCCCAATTCCGCACCCCCGCAAATCCCCGGTTTTCCCGATTTGCTCCAGGAACACCGAATCCCGCGAATCTCCTGAAAATTGAATGGCTTTTGGTGGCCTTGCCGATGGCGCATTCCAATCCCGTGCTGCCCCTCGCCACCCATGCACATGACCAGGCGAGAGCGTGCGAGTTGTACAAGCTAATCCACTCTTATATAACCTCCTTGGCTCAGGAACGCTTTGTGCAGTGAAGCAGTCATAGAGACTGAACCACTGAACAGCTATCCACCATGCCCGTCACTAACTTCAAACACGCTGATCCATATTCCTACCAGAACGGCTTTGACTCGTACCATGAGTGAGTGCTAGGAAGCAGGGGTCTCTGGGTGGCGCTTGTCGATGTCAAGTCTGACTGATTCCTACTACTAGGTCGGAGGCTGTCAAGGGAGCTCTGCCTATAGGACAGAACTCGCCACAGAAGGTGCCGTATGGGCTCTATGCCGAGAAGCTCTCGGGGACAGCTTTTACTGCCCCTAGACATGAGAACAGACAGACTTGGGTGTACCGAATCCTCCCTGCGGCTGCTCACCAGAATTTTGTGGCCGAAGATGGCGACTCATACCACACCCACATGACCACCGAAACACAGAAGCTTCACCACATTCCAAACCAGCTTCGGTGGGATCCCTTCGACTTGGATGAGACTGTGGATTGGGTCCACGGCCTTCACCTTGTTGCTGGTGCTGGTGATCCCACTCTTAAACATGGCCTGGGCATAATTCTGTACGCTGCGGGCAAAGACATGGGGAGGGAAGCCTTCTATTCTGCCGACGGCGACTTTTTGATCGTGCCGCAGCACGGTGTGCTAGACATCCAGACCGAACTGGGACGCCTCCTGGTTCGGCCCAATGAGATCTGCGTAATTCCCCGTGGTGTGAGGTGAGCACCGATATTTCCATGTCGTGTTTGCATAAGGACCTTGACTAATGTACTACAGATACCGTGTGACTCTCCCGGAAGGACCGGTGAGGGGATACATCTGTGAGCTCTATCAGGGTCACTACCAGCTTCCTGAACTGGGACCCATCGGATCCAACTGCCTTGCCAACGCGCGAGACTTCCAAGCGCCGGTGGCCTTCTTTGAAGACGAGGAAGAGCCATCCGAATTTCGTCTGTACAGCAAGTTTAACAATACTCTCTTCTCCGCCCGTCAGAACCACACCCCCTTCGACATTGTTGCTTGGCACGGAAACTACTACCCTTACAAGTACGATCTGGGCCGTTTCAACACGATCGGTTCTATCTCTTTTGACCACCCGGACCCGTCCATCTTCACCGTCCTCACTGGCCCGTCCGACCACAACGGCACTGCCATTGCCGATTTTGTTATCTTCCCGCCCCGCTGGCTGGTGGCGGAGAACACCTTCCGCCCGCCATGGTATCACCGCAACACCATGTCTGAATTTATGGGTTTGATCTCCGGTGCTTATGATGCCAAGACTGGTGGAGGCTTTCAACCGGCGGGCGCCAGTTTGCACAATGTGATGAGCGCCCACGGTCCGGACAAGGACGCCTTTGAAGGTGCTAGTAATGCTGATTTGAAGCCGCAAAAGGTTGGCGACGGCAGCATGGCCTTTATGTTTGAGAGGTAAGCAAACTTCTTTTTTCAAGTCAGCATCAACTAATTCCTTAATAGCTGTCTCATGGTCGGCGTGTCTGAATGGGGCCTGAAGACCTGTCAGAAAGTGCAAGAACAATACAACGCACACAGCTGGCAACCGCTGCAGAGGCATTTCCGGAACCCGAACAATTCCGTGGACACAATGTGCAAGGACGACCATTAAGCACTGATTCGACGAAGTTACGAAAAGCGAAGGCATTTTTCAGATACCAGTGTAGTAGTAGTATTCAGTCATAGCCGAATGGAGAGTTTAAAACATCTATCCGCGTTCATCTGGGTATGTGAGACCAATTGACAAATTGTAAGACACGAATGTAAAAAGCATCCAAAACGAAACTACACCCCCCGCAAAGTACCCAAACCAGCCAATTCGAGCAAAAAAAAAAAAAAAAAAAAAAAAAAAAAAAAAAAATCTTCACCACATCATCACCCACAACCTCCTTCCTCAACGCCTCCTTCACAATCGCCCCACACATCTTCGCATACGGGTTCGTCTGCACTGCCAACTGCTGTGCAACCTTATTTCCATACCTGCCCCCAAAGAAGAAATCGCGACTAGCCATATCCTCCAACTGCTCCGGCTCCACGGCACGCAACTGTTCCGGGCCACCAATAATTTCCCCCTCCTTCCTCTCCTTCTTCACTCTCGCCGCTTTAAGTAGCAAGTACCCGCGATGCGTATGCGCATCCGCCAACAAGCGCGCCTGGACTGTCGACACCGGATCAGCAGGTGACCGAGGTGTCGCTAGCGTAATAGCGTTCCCTAGGTCTGCTAGTAACGTGGATGCGGGCTCTGTGTTTTCGGGGGCAAAAATCTTGTCGTCGTCATTGTCTTGACCGCTGCTCTCAGTGGGAGTATTGGTCTTGTCAATGAGAATACGGAGTGTTTGCGCGCGGTTGACGTATGCGGATGGGTAAGTTGGATGCTGGGCGATAAGGGTGTCGAGATCCTTAATCGCTTGTTGGATCGTGGAGATGTCCAAGGCGGTTTCGGATTGTAGGGTACGGATTATAGAGACCTCGCGAGATTTCAGGGTCTGGAGGAGTTCTGGGGTGATGTTGAGGTGGGCTGGATAGGCGGGGAGAGAAGAGTTAATGGTGATAGAGTTGGAGGGGGAGGATTCAGCGTCGAAAAGAGCTTGGAGAACGGCGGAGTCGTTGGTGGTAAGGTTGGGTTTAGCGGTTGGGTTTGAGGTCATCTTGCTTATCGCCTTCGCGGGACTATGGATTATCGATTTATCTGTGGTTTTGGGACGTATATCGAGGTAAAGGGGATGTAGCTGATATTAAGGTAGTGTTCGCAGTGAGGATGCTTGCTATCGGTGACACCGAAAAGGGTGAACAATCGTTGGTATTTGAGCTAACCTACGCTCACCGATAGTCCGCGGAGCCATGTGGACAGAGCTTATCAAAGCCTATCTTATAACAAGATCCAGAACCAGGGACCGTGGCAATCACCGCATGCATCGGAGTGGATGTTCTCATGATGTAAACGAGGCAGCGGATGTTCCGTGGGAGTCGAAATACCCGCCGACAGCCGGGCTTCTCCGGGGTCAACCGATGACATCCGGCCCGGCTGGTTTACTATCCTGGCGTCCTGTAAGCTGCTACTGCTTGCTTATCCTCTACTCTTTCCCAAAACAATGTAATTATGATTCATGGCCGATTCACTGAGTTTGTCTTCTGGAAACGGACCCTCCCGATAACTATTGACTGTGTCAGGAGGCCCGCCCTCATCCGGACTTATAAAGATGGTCCCGGGACCCCTTTCACCTCTCTGGAAGTAGACCCTAAGTAGCCAGGCGCACTCCTCTTCATGATACATAATATTTCCCTTTGATACCTCTCTTCTATACCCAAGTATTATAGAATCTCTTTGCTGTTCTTCATACAACACACACTCCCATCACCATGGCACCCAGCGCAATCTCCTCTCCTCCCTCCCCCCAGCCAGCTACCGCTACCACCTCCGATATCTCCAGCTATAAGGGGTATGACCACGTCCACTGGTATGTCGGCAACGCCAAAATCACCGCCTCATATTATGTCACTCGCATGGGCTTCAAGCGGGTCGCATATCGCGGCCTCGAAACCGGCAGCCGTGCCATCTGCTCTCACGTTGTCCGTAACGGCGACATCACCTTCGTCCTGACCTCTCCTCTCCGCTCCCTCGACCAAATGGAACTCCTCACTCCCGAAGAGCAGAAGCAGCTCCGTGAGATTCACGAGCACCTCGAACAGCACGGTGACGGCGTCAAGGACGTCTCCTTCGAAGTTGACTCCGTCGACGCAGTATATCAAGCAGCCGTGGCCAACGGTGCCAAGATTGTGTCTGCTCCACGCAGCCTCGAAGATAAGGACGGGTACGTTCGGGTTGCGACTATCCAGACGTATGGAGAGACTACCCACACCCTTCTGGAGCGCAAGTCATATTCTGGCGCGTTCCTGCCCGGGTATCGTGTTGAGGATGGGCCCGAGGACCCTATCACCAAGTATTTGCCCGGTGTATATTTGAACCGTGTCGACCACTGCGTCGGTAACCAAGACTGGGATGAGATGGACCGTGTCTGCCAATAGTAAGTTAACAAACTATTATTTCCACGAGAGGGCGTGCTGACCATTATGCAACAGTTACGAGAAGGCCCTTGGCTTCCACCGTTTCTGGTCTGTCGACGACAAAGACATCTGCACGTGAGTGACCCCATACTATCCACATACTTTTCCTCTGAAACAGTAAACTCACGAGATGACAGTGAATACTCTGCACTCAAGTCAATCGTCATGGCCTCTCCTAACGAAGTCGTCAAGATGCCCATCAACGAGCCCGCCGTCGGCAAGAAGAAGTCCCAGATCGAAGAATACGTGGACTACTACAACGGCGCCGGTGTGCAGCACATTGCACTCCTGACCGACGACATCATCCGGGACATCACCAACCTCAAGGCACGCGGAGTCGAATTCATCAAGGTCCCCGACACGTATTACGAGGACATTAAGATCCGTCTCAAGAAGACGGGCTTGGTTCTTCACGAGGATTTTGAAACCATCCGCAACCTTGACATTCTCATCGATTTTGATGAGGGCGGGTATTTGCTCCAGCTTTTCACTAAGGTATGTGCACCATTTTCCCACTTAAATAATTCAATGCAATATACTAATGAATATGATGTAGCACCTAATGGACCGCCCAACCGTCTTCATCGAAATCATCCAACGCCACAACTTCAGCGGCTTCGGTGCCGGCAACTTCAAGTCGCTGTTTGAGGCACTTGAGAGGGAACAGGCTCTGCGTGGTAACCTCGTCTGATTCTTTTTATTTTGATTCTTAGTACAAGAACTGCAAGACAGTTATTTGAAGGGGATGGTGTACAATTCGGCCAGGTTGCCAAGTACACTGATTGCTAGTTTCTACGTTTCCCATGTTCCTTGTTCTTTGGGTTTACTAGTACTGTACTGGATTGAACTGGACTAGTTGAAACCAAACAACAAACAATACTTCAGGTAAAGAACGATTCAGGATACTGTGTAACCAATCCGATATTTATCGAGTCTTTGATTGATTTTAACAATTAATGGGATAATTCGATTAATGTGAAGTATATGACGATGTATCTTTATTCTTATGTAGTCGCTTTAAAAACACATATAATATGTTCGGCAAGTGTGAAGATTGTGGAACCTCAACTGTATGTATATGTGCCCTCGCACAAGTTTTTGTAGTAGTAACAGTTACCCTTCTAATAGCCAAAGAGAGCTGTCTTCTTCAACAAGAATCCGATATGGTGTAGTGGCTAACATCGCCGTCTCTCACACGGCAGCCGGGGGTTCGATTCCCCCTATCGGAGCTTAATCATTTCTTTTTTCTTTTTTCCTCTCCTCATGATAGTACCTTCTAGCTAAGTATCGTATTGTGTTCATGGCTTCGACATATTATTCTTTTTGGTCTTGGTTGAAGAAGTTGCTGTTTACTTTGTTTGAGAACACAGATATCAAAGACCGGGATAGGTTGTCATTGAGACTCACTTCCAGGGCTCCTTTGGCCGATTCGTGGGTTATCTATCTATCCGTCTATCTATCTTATCAGATCGTTGACGGCTGTTTATGTGACACTCATGGGTTGTCAGTAGGCGATATTGTCTGGTCTACTATGGTAAGGCTAAGTTGGGACAAGTGTCGGTCTCTTGGTGATATTATGAGGTATTTGTGCAAAAGTCTACACTTCATCCTCCTTGTATAGGCTCTCTACAAAGGATACATGCATTTCCCACGTGGGAATATATTTTCATTCATCGTGTCGCTAGTCTGCTACTTCTTCGAGGAACTGGCACCACCTGGTGTTGTTCCCCCACGACGCTTGTATTTACGTGGATCTATATCGATTGTCAGCCATCCATGAAATAAGAAACAAACAATCATAGGAGATTGTACGTACCCTTCCGACTCATGAGTACTCTGTTTCTCGTTCCTTTTCCGCCCTCCCAGAATCCGCTACCGGCTTTGCCAATCAGCACTGCCCGGCATATTCCGCAATTTTCGGGCCGGTAGATTTGCTCTCGTGAGCAAAAGCCGCTGTAGTCGTTAGGATCGCTTTGTAGACTATGTCAGGATTGAGGGCACATACCAAATCATACGGTTAGCATGCTCATTGGGATGGTCTGTAGCGGCATCGTGGCATCTGCTTATATTAGCTTTGACATGGGAAGATAGCATGATGTGCTCGTACTTATCGCAAGGGAAGACCTTCGCACAGCAGCTGAATCTATTTTATTGTTAGATAATATCAATGAAGCACCTGAATGACGGGTATTACCTGAACCACCGATAACTCTTGCCGTAGTGCGTACAGCGGCCACGACGAGGCAATTCTTGACCAGCAACGATGCCGAGGACTTCCTTGGGCTGTCGATGACGATTAGCATAATTCAGAGGAAAGATATTATTGTAGTGGATTACCTTCTTCCGTGGAGGCTCGCGGAAACGAGATGAATCTGGCCGATAGTGTCAGCATTCCGTCAAAATTCATCTTATAAAGAACTCACATGCTGCCGACCCCACTTTCAGAAACTTGACTTCTGGAATTTTCATGACTGTAGTTGTAAGCGGTTGGTCCGTGTTTAGGAGATTCAACACATACCCATTTTGCGGTGACATTGTCGGCAATTCGCCATGGCACTTTCGCCCCGAACTGCAACAACACCAGGCGCGGGAAACGCTGTTGAGCATTCCGCACAGGTTGGGATAAAGCTACTGCGGAGATTGTCAGCGTTTTCGATGCGCAACGTGGAAGCTGTCATCCGATCCAACTTACCTAGGCAGAAGATCAACGACTGTGCACCCATCCAAGTCAAGATAGCCCGCACGAGTAGCACTAGGATGCATAAGCTGTCGACGGAACCCTGGAGGCGTGTCAACTCCCGTAGTTCATATAGCATTTGAACGACATGTGGTGTACTTACCGAGGCTCATGGTATTTGCGCATTTCTTGCAACTCTCGATCTTAGGAGACAATTCATCACTCTTGTCCTTGATCTGTGGAATATTTCTGACATCCAATTGCTCTTTGCATCGATCGCACTTGATGGTGATGTAGAGACCTACAAGCTCCAAAAGCTCGATTCCGTAGAGCTCCAGAAAAGGGAAAGAGAGGGCGACACCACGCTCAGCCGTCGTAGGCTCCGGAAGATCTGGAACGGGAGCCCCGCCTTCTTCCTCATCGTCGTCAGAAAACTCATCCTCAGACGGAGTCATCTCTGAGTCGTCAGTGTCACTACCGTTATCGCCCACTGCCCATTCAGGAGGGCGGGGCACAACGTGAACGTGTGGTTTATCTTCCAATGTCACTCCTTCTGCCTGAGATGGAGGCTCGCTGGGTACTATATCATCAGATACCACGGGCACAGGAGCTGGTTCAGGGGCTTTCAGCGGTGTTTTGGCGAATTTATGCATATTGCTGGTCAAGTAGTTCACTTGCGACACAAGATTCAACTGTTTGTTCCCTTCAAGCCACTGCGAGAAGCCAGCTTCCACAGCTCGTCCTTCTGGGCTATCAATGCCCTGCAAATGAACAGTGCTCGGTTCAAGAGGATACAAGCTAGGCACCAGGAGCTTCACTGTCTTGACGGAGCGAACAGAAATAGGCAGACGATCTAGCTTAGTCGGTTGGATTGGAATAACGAACGACAGACCGTCGCTGGACTTTTGAAAAAGAGGCAGCCTTCCCAGACGAGCGTCAAGTTGCTTCGTCTCAACTGTTCTTCTTTTCTCCGCCTGAGCCTTCTCTTCCGCGGTGTATACGGGTTTCGGAGGCTGAGGGCTCGCTGCTTCCACCTGAGTTGAGTTGGTCTTCTTCCCAGAAGACACAGCTAAAGAGCTCATCTTTGACACTAGCTTCTGCTCCTCTGGCTTCCCTTTGCCGCCCACGTTAGGCACGAACTTCAACGTAGGCCCCCGTTCCGTAGTAGTGAGCAAACGCTCCAAATGCCGATCGAGACTGTTCATCCAGCTGAGCAAAGTCCCACGACTACCACTTCTGATAGTGCTATCGACTATATCATCGAATCCTCTCGAGATATTTTCCTGAAACGCACTGCCCATTTCAGGGTTGGTGACTTTGATAGACGGCCGTCCTTGCGCCGGAAATGTCCCGGGAACATGCAAGATACACTGAAGCTTGTCCATATCAAACGGAAAGTCAGGATCCGAAGGAGCCAAGCCGAAACTCAATGTGGTTCCATCGTCATTGCTGGTTTCTGTCGGATTGAACCGTCTTCTGAGCTGGTTGAGCTGGAACTCTCGCGGGTTCGAGGCTTCTGCTTTGGACACTGGTCGTTGACCGGCAGCAGAGCTAGCACCCGCAGAGCTAGCACCCGCAGAGCTCCCTGTTTGTGCGTTGCTCATGTTGGAATGCCTTTAATTGAGCTGCTGTAGGATAAATCGAATAGACTGGTGAACTACATGGCAAGAAACAGGTATCGGAGCGGATGTATATTTGCGGGCGGCGGGTGGAGCTCACGGGACAGCTAGTCCCAAAGGGGTAAGGCAGGCGAATGACTGTCTGGATTGGCAGTTTTTGAGTCAAAAGCTGGTCGCCATCATCATGACTCATCTTGAGTCGTGATGTCTAAAATCCATTTGACTGTTTGATATCAAAGTGAACCGAGCAGAAAGCTCTCGAAAGCTAAGCATCCACAGTTGAAGCCACATAGTGGCGATGCTGACGATAAAAGGGGTTAGTTGGAGACCCGGTCCAGGCAAGAAGGAATGGTCCAATGATGTGCGGGCGTATCCAATACGATGGCAGCGATTGCCCCCAATCCACTAAATGCTCCAGACACAGCTGTGAGTGGCCAGAGTGACTGTCAACATCACTGGAGCCTTGCATGGTTCGACACTTTATCCAAAGGATCTCCAAGTGGTCTGATCCGGCTCAGGAACCACCGTGAGCAATGCCTCCTTCCGTTGCTGACAGTGTTTGCGAACCATTACAGTGGTATGGACCGATGTAGCTCAGTGCCAGGGGTAAGATCTTGGGAGTGATATCTAATAACTCGTGGCGCCTAGAGCTGTTTACGTTAATCTTCAGACAGTCATGAGCCGACCACAACCTACTCCTTCGATGTCTTGCTCCTGACTTTCTCCTTTACAAAACACCTTCCCCATCAATTGGTCCTTTTCTCTGCCTACGGTCGCTTCCAGGATGGCATATCTTGCTGTCGCAGGCGCCTACGCTTCCGCAGCGTTGCTCGTTGCGATAGTCTTGAATATCGCGCGCCAATTGCTCGTTCGCAACGAGAAAGAACCACCCGTTGTCTTCCATTGGATTCCCTTCCTGGGAAGCACAATCAGCTATGGAATGGATCCCTATGCATTCTTCTTCTCCTGCAGGAAAAAGGTCAGCCATTGTGCATCATGCAATTGCAAATGATTACTGACCAAAGCGGTTGAATAGTACGGGGACATCTTCACCTTCGTGCTCCTGGGCAAAAAGACAACCGTATACTTGGGCGTTCAAGGCAACGATTTCATCCTCAATGGCAAACTCAAGGACGTGAGCGCGGAAGAGGTCTACAGCCCTCTCACCACCCCGGTGTTCGGGTCCGACGTTGTGTACGACTGCCCTAATTCCAAGCTGATGGAACAAAAGAAATTCATCAAGTTTGGCCTCACGCAAGCGGCGCTCGAGTCACACGTTCAGCTGATTGAAAAGGAGACCCTCGACTATCTCCGGGACTCTCCACGGTTCAACGGCGCTAGTGGAGTTATTGATATTCCTGCTGCCATGGCTGAGATTACAATCTATACTGCTGCACGCGCGTTGCAGGGCGAGGAGGTCCGCAAGAAGCTTACTGCAGAGTTCGCTGAACTGTACCACGATCTAGACAAGGGGTTCAGCCCCATCAACTTTATGCTCCCTTGGGCTCCGTTGCCGCACAACCGGAAGCGTGATGCTGCTCATGCTCGGATGAGGGAGATTTACACAGACATCATCAACGAACGGCGCAAGAACCCAGACGAGGAGAAGTCCGACATGATCTGGAACCTGATGCACTGCACCTACAAGAACGGACAGCCGGTCCCGGACAAAGAGATTGCTCACATGATGATCACTCTGTTGATGGCAGGACAACACTCCTCTTCCTCAATCAGCTCTTGGATCATGTTGCGACTAGCCTCTGAGCCTCAAGTGCTTGAAGAGCTCTATCAAGAACAGTTGGCCAGCCTCAGCAACAGGAACGGGGTCTTCGAGCCGCTGCAGTACCAGGACCTTGACAAGCTGCCACTCCTCCAGAGTGTCATCAAGGAGACCCTACGGATCCACTCGTCCATCCACTCGATCATGCGCAAGGTGAAAAACCCGCTACCAGTACCTGGCACATCTTACGTTATCCCCGAAGACCGTGTTCTACTCGCCTCACCAGGCGTAACAGCCCTTAGTGATGAATACTTTTCCAACGCAACCCGGTGGGATCCACACCGTTGGGAGAACCAACCTGACAAGGAGGAAGAAGGAGAGATGGTCGACTACGGATATGGCAGCGTGTCCAAGGGCACTGCCAGTCCCTACCTGCCTTTTGGCGCTGGCCGCCACCGCTGCATTGGAGAGAAGTTCGCCTACGTTAACCTGGGCGTCATTATCGCGACCATCGTGCGTCACCTGAAGCTATTCAATGTGGATGGCAGGAACGGAGTGCCTGGAACCGATTACTCGACTCTCTTCTCCGGTCCCATGAAGCCTGCTATTGTAGGCTGGGAGCGACGCTTCCCGGACAACTCCAAGGGGTCCTTGAACTAAAGCCCGCTTTATTGCAAGCTACCTTTCATCTTCAGTCTTTTCCAACTAGTACCTTGTAATAAGCATCCTGTATGATTAGAGCATCCAGTCCATAGTCAAAGAAAGAGATATGACCGCTGCCCAGTCAGCACCATGATCGAACATCCCAACCCTGAACCATGACCATAGTCCATAGACCAAACCGAGGATGAAAGCGAATGAAGCACGTGAGGACCCTCGTGTCATTGTTCCACCACCTGTGAAACCCGCCCCCTTTCCATCCAAGGGCTAACAATGCCCACCTACCCTGAAATGCGCATCAATACAGTGGCCATCCGCGTACCAGCAAAACCACGTATACGAAATACCAACCACAGGGCAAAAGAAAGATGCGCATTGAGATAAGAGCGCGCACATGCACACGGTGGCGCCTACTAAATCAACAAGGGGAAAAAAAAGGCAAGTAGAACAGCGAGGATAAGGCTAGACCTCTGCCCCATCTCGCCACAAAGCAAAGCAGAGAGAGGCATTTGACCTGCTGTTCCGCGGATGAATGTACAGAATGCGACCCAGAGCCTGCTTTCGAACACTGAGGCTGAGCGCCAGCAAACACACACTCACACACATACAGCGCCACCTGCGGGAGAAGGGCCCGAGTATGTCAAAATAAGGATTACAACAATAATATGGGGAAGGAATTTGAAAGGAGCGTGTGACCGAGCAAAAAAAAGAAAAGCTGCGGGCCGAAAGTGTCAGTCAGACCCAGTGATGTATTATGGATAGTTGTTGAAGGCCTGATAATAGAACAAGATAGAATACCTAAATGGGATGGAAATTGCGATCATAATGACATAAAAAAGTACATGGGGGGTGGGTATTGGCGCTGGTCGACAGGCCTGGACCTGGAATACGAAGCCCGGAGGAAGCATCCAGAAATGGATGAATCTGCAGTATACCTAGTATACCTAATGTAGGGGACGGAGGCTCATGACTGACAGATTTGTGAATGTGAAAGGCTGACCTCATCGTCGAAACAGGACAGCAGTAAGTAGCTCTATCATCATCATCTCAATAATCTCCCAGGATTAGAATCCATTGACTGGGGCCCCGAGGACAAGGTATCCTGCTTGCTCCGGATCACGGGCGTGTGATGTGAAAAAATAATAAGGAGGGGGAGCATAAAATCGTAAAAGATCGGCGGGAAAGTCGCTAAGCAATATTAGAAGTCACTGAATTGATGACTTGTCAGCGCGTAATCTCGGGATTCCAGGAGGAGCAAGGGAACATCCGCAATGTGATCGAATTGCCAACGCAGAGATCTGGTGACCCGGAGATCGACAGTCGCCAGGTCCTGGCCAACGGATGCTGGAGGGACAACGCTAGAGACACAGTCCTCCGGCTCTCATCACCGGCAGACATGGGAAGCAGATGAAAAGAGAGAGAAAAAAAAGTACCTGATCTAGTAGAGGGTTGGATTCTCGTCGCGGGGCGTACAAATGATGCTGACTGTTGCAGTGATGCCAGCCGCCATGTGACCACGTGATGGAAGTCGGTCTGGCAGTGCTGAGTGTTTTTCAGGTCACCTTATTCGCACCTTCTTTTGGGCAGATGAACTGGATACGAATGCTAGGAGAGGCAATGCCCCCTCCCGTATTGTGCCGGCAGATGACGATCTTTGGGCATCGCGGGGAGAATCTGGGGAAACATCCACCTTCTGGATCTGTCCGAACCGACTGCAAGTATCACCAGTTGTGGAATGGAAATACTGTGCAATCTCTCGACTGTAACCATCTGACGTTGACCTTAACATGTCAGTGTGTCTATCTTTGCTTTTTTTCCGGCCCCAGTCTGGTATCTGGCGTCGTCTTGTGGCTTGTATGATGGGAGTGCGCATGTCCACTGATCTTCTTCACGTTGGCCTCCACCTACTGGACGTTATACTCTATGTGGGCATCTACGTACCTCCCAAATAAGGCAGAACACCGACAGTTACGAGAAGAGGAAGGTCGGTAAGTGGAACGGTTACCTAAAGTTCTAACCTAGTGTACCCAAGTTGGTGGAAGGGTCCTATCTTGTCTTCGGCAGAGTTCCACCCAACAATGCCCACAGCACAGCTCCTGATAACCGGAAAATTGGCTTGCTGCTACCCTCCATGAAGAAAGGAAGTTAAACTTAATCGATCACACCGACACTTTGGATCTTCCTTTATTGGAATTTGGCCAGCGATATTTGCCCGCGGTAAAGTTAAGCGGAGATAGCAGCCACAGATGATGCTATGATGATTCCAGACCAGGCGGTGATGATACGACTGTTGACTTGTTTGCAAATGTACATCGGTTGCACAAAGCAGGTAAACTGAGGATTCTCCGGCTGGCATTCGCAATCGGAATATACCCGGAGTAATGATGGACATGGGTATCCTGTTTCTCATCCACATCCTCCTAGAAAGCAAATGATAGCGAAGTGCAACGCTCCATCAGCCTCATTGAACCACTGTCAGCGACTTCATCTTCTAATTTACCCGTTTGGTAAAGAGCATAGGCCGGGCAATGCAAACGAGTCGAGTTGAATAAGCAAGCGAGTGGTACAGCACAAGTACCCCCGTATGTAAACGGGACTATTGATACCGACAAAAACCACGTTGGAACCCGGGCAATACCACTAAGCCTAAACCCCCGCGGAATACCCGGTCACTTGGCTCCAAATCCCACCAACATTCCGATCTTGATATGCAGGGAGACACCGACGCCATTGTACCACACCATATGGTGACATTAATTTCCCAAGCCCTATGCGATCCCTGATCCTTCAACAAAGCCACAACTCAAATGATACCGGGCGTACGTTTGTCTGTGCTACGGTGATTTAATGGTAATAAGTCTCGCCGGGAGTGGGCAGAGAAAAGCCTCACTAAGAAACGCGTCCCCAACTTCCCCGCCAAATCATCGTCGTGACTAGGGCTTGCTCCCCGCGCCTCCCCCTCACTAACTAGGCGCACAGAGCGCTGCTTGTTCTGATTCGCAGGTGGCTTTTGCGGTTTAGGACGAATCGAGTAAGTTGAGCCCGGATGAATGTAACTTGGACCCACTGACGAGGATATTCAGGAGCGTGACTTAGGACCCTAATTTGAGGGTAATACAGCTAGCTGCCAGCTACGAGCCCCCCGGCTGCATAACACGGCATTCACAATGTGTGTGTTGGGTAATGGAAAATGTGCGGCAAACAAACAAGCGGTAGGCCTACATGTACGGATCGGGGTTTGGGAACGGTCAATCTACAATTGACTGCACCCAGCAAATCGAGCAATCGCCTGACTCTCAAGACGCCGTAGCTTCAAGTGTGAACCAGCAAATTGAAGTAACGTGAGACATATCATTGGTTGTGACCTCGGGATAGCGCGTATTCGAGGTACGCCGCACCAGAAAAAGTCATTGCCATCATGTGACTCCTAGCTCTTCCGGCTAGCTCAGAAAGGGATCAGTTTCTCCGTGATTACTCCGTTCATACGACCTGGCCCTGAGCCATCAGCACCAACAATACAGTAGTTCCTGAATCCAGCAATCCATGCCTAATAGAGACTCAGTTATACTTATTCTACTAAACCATTGAATTAAAAAGTCCCGATTCCCGGCAACTTTCAATGGTGTTTATTGAAACGACCAAACAGGTCACCTGTTTTGCGGAATTCTGTGTGCTGGAATCCCGCATCCGACGGAATCTCGCCGCGCAAAGATACACGCTAGCCTCCTCCGGCAAGGCAGATACAACTAGTGCGGATCGTCTCGACCTTCGATGGACGGTTCCATGTTGTCTCTAGCGGGGTTCTACGCATAGCATGAACTCAATCGGAGCGACGTCCTCCGGGCCCGTAACTGACGTTAAACGGCTGCTCAGTCTTAATGCTGGGAGTGGCCTCGATGCACAAACAGCCACAGATGTGTTGTGTTGCTATACTTGGAAGGTGTTGATAACTGGATGTTATCCGCCTATCTCCATAATGACGACGAAGGTAGTGATGTGGCTTGTTTCACCCAAGGCCGAGATAGCAAGCTTTTCCTTCTCCTAAAAACAACAAGGAAAAAGCCCTTTACCAAGCTAACAAGTCAATTGGTATGCGCATGCATGTCAGGACGGCCACTAAGGTGAACAGGTTGGGCCAATCATCAAGTTACCCGAGGCGGTCTACACAATGTTCGGTATTCCCATGCACCCAGAATCCATATACATGGTCAGGTGAGAAGCACAATTTCAGTATCAACGAGCGGATACGAATGATCGTCCAAAAGATCCCTCTAGGCTACGACTATTCACCATCGGGCACCGATCTGGAGATCAAAATCTTCTTCCTCATAGCCCAATTATCTCCACCGTCATTGGCCTATACAGGAAGAAAAAGTCTGCTAGCCGCAACCTGAACCCATCGTCGCCTGTGTGTATAGGCTAAAACAGGACTAGGATATTCGATACAAGCGGATTACATACAACCCACCCCCGCCAAATACCGAAAATTACCAATACCAGCCCATCGGGCAAGTACACCGACAAATCCATCCACACAAAACGAAAGTATAATACGGCTCTAAGCCAAATGCGTACTGCGATCCCCAAACCCCAAACCTCTTCTAGAAGACTTCTCGAAGGCGCACCACACCAAAATCGGCATCATCGGTTGCCTTGCGACCGTAAACGTGGTTAGCGCCAAACACTCACACATGGCATGTGATTGATTTTCGCCTCCCGATGGCATTTTTCGCCTCTGGAAACAGCTGGTAGGTGGCTGATACTAGTGGTGGTTTGAGATTCTGGGTAGTCGAATCAGGACCTCGGGATGTCTGAAGGGGGCCAGCCGGTTGTCTGGGCCGTAAGAATGGATGTATTACTCTACATAATCCTTCCGCTAGTTACTCCGTGGTTAGTTCGCTTTACACAAGTCCTTTCTTTGTAAGACAACCAGAAGACAGACTTGATCCACAATTAATACAAATCACATTCAAGTTATGAACACTCGTGCTGTTACGTACCCATCCACGCTTTGACCTGGACCTACCCACCTAGTATCAGTGGCTGGTAATCGCTGCCAACGCCGCCCAAGTATACTGTACACGTGATCAGAAGCGATCGTGAAGCATATTCACATGCATTTCACAATGCGTCTCAAGTATCTAACCAAAGATGTCATGGCCCTCAGTATGGTAGCCAAGCTTTTGAATGATTAGCAGAACAATCCAATCATAGTCAGCTTTGCCTGACTTCAGGCTTCAAATCATACCTCCAACTATGTCAATACCCGAGTCAATAGTAACACTCTATCTTCGAACACGACTATGGCTAGGCAAAAAGCGCTATGGCACCTTCACGCCGAAGGTAGTAAGAGTGAGCTCCAAGCGACTAATCAAAGGACCATGTTTCCCCGCCGAACTAGAAGGTCTAAGATACGTCGCGCAACACACATCCATCCCCATCCCAAAAGTTCACCGCACATACCCAGCCACCGAGGGACGCATCTACATCGAAATGGACTACATCAAGGGCGATACCCTCCAAGAAACATGGCGCAACCCCAACTTTACATCCACAAACAAACAAGCAGTGATCAACGAAGTTGCTAGCTACATCGATCAACTCCGACAACTTACACCACCCCAGGAAGGTCTTGTAGCTTCCGCAGAACTAGGAGAATGTTATGACATCCGAGTGGGAAGCTGGCCGTTTGGGCCATTCAAATCCATTCACGAATTCCATGAGTTTCTGCGCGGGACGATCCCCATAGAAGATACTACGAAAGTATACGGCGAAGCTGTCACGAAGTGTCATGAACGATCTGGATCTGGGTCATACTATCGGACGTGTTTCACGCATGCGGATATCGCTAAACGGAATATCATCATTCGTGATGGAAAGGTTGCTGGGATCGTTGATTGGCAGTTTTCTGGGTGGTTTCCGGAGTATTGGGAGTATACGAAGGCGTTTTATACGCTTTATGATGTTCCGGATTGGTATGGTGGGTTGAAGAAGGTGATGAGGAGGTATGATGATGAATTAGAGGCGGAGAGGGTGCTTTGGGAGAGGTTTGATCAGCCGGGGGATCTTCTTAGGACTAGGTATTATGGTGGTAGTAATTAATATGGGTAGGTGGATGTGTTCTCTCTTCCTTTATTTTCTTCGGTTTCTTTTCGTTCTTTTTGCTACGCTGGTTAATAATGTTGTAAGTTGTATAGATCTAGATGTTCATAATCTGATATCATGTGACCGCCAAGTCTAGTAAGCGGGGGCCTCCCCTCCCCCGACCGGTCAACGGAGCAGACCAGTGCGGTAACTTACTTAACAGCAGAGTGACAAACAAACAAACAACCAAGCAAAATGAATACGTACCTAGCTCGGCATTTCCCCGATCAAAGGATCCATGCGCGGCGCCCCGGTCAGCCTCAACGACCGTCGTCATACATACTATACCGAGAAAAGAAACTAAATGAGAAAGAATAATAGTTAGGCTGAAACAAACAACCTTTCTCTCTCTCTCTCTCTCCCCGCTCCGACCACGTGCCGAGGCATACTACTGCAACGTAACTAAACTATCAAGTAGCAAGAAAAGAAGACAGAAAACAGGATAACAAGTCAACTAATTCTCCGAGTCTAGACAATCAGCTTACAACAAGAATAGCCAAGTCTAGATTCACCCACCAACCCACATAATTAGTGTACATATGTTATATGCGGTCAAAAAAGTGAACACGTACATATGATGGGGCCATGTGAAAAACGGTGAGCCAGCGAAGAAGGTAAAAAAGACAGTGTGCGGGAAAATAGAGTTCAGAATGTTCTCGGAGAAATAGAAGAGCAAATGATATAATCAAGATAATTCGGTGTCTTAAGTTAGTTAAGTTTTTGTTTGGTATTGTTCCGAATATACCCCATTGTGTATGTATGCATGGATGTGGATGGGAAAGGAAGGAACAAGGAAGTTTCGGCATGCCGAGCTGCATTGGGGAGTCGGGCCGGGTAGTAGCCGGTTGCTGGTTGGGCTCGCTCGTTGGTTGGTTGTTCAGTTGGCTCGGTCGGGCACCGTTGGTTATTGGTTGTTATTATTTATGGTACGTATTATTGTTTCAGGGCCTCGGTGTGTGTGTGTATCTCTCTACAAGGTAGGAAATGATGGAGAGGATCTTAATTTATTAAGCAGGGTGTCGAGGGGTTGATTGATTCAAGGTGATGTATGTACTATGTAGGAGTTACTGCTCCACTTCCAGCAGCCATCAAGGCAGTGAAACGAGCGTGAAGAAGTCAAGAATCAAGATTATTGATGGATGGATAGTCCGTATAGCGATCGATCTGAAAGAGGGAGGCTGAAGGTGAGAATTAGTAAGGAAGGATAGAATACAACTATCCCGAATCAGCCCGAGTACAGCACCTGTCACTCAGATACAGTGTCACTGTATAACAGCACTCACAGTACCGGTGAAGGCTACTTTGTTCGGGGGGGGGAACGAATCACTTGGCTGCCCGATCTCAAATTTCGCTCCACAAGAGAAAGAAGACCCGCAATTTGAAAAACTAAACTACTTAGCAACAAGGTAAGCTGGGAATTGACACCAGGGAAAGAGTGGAGAGAAACCACCCCCCCCCTCTCAGCTGACAAAAAACCACTCGCGCGGCGTCCACCCCGACTTTCTGCAGGGGCAGTAAACTCTTTTGGGCCAAGTTCCCCCTCAGCCGCTTTGCACTGGTGGTCGGGGTTGGATCCACCGCCGTGGTCTGGGTGTTTGAGAGAACCACGGGCTGGCTTTTGCTCCACGTTTTCGGGCAGACTCGGACGTCAGAGTTTGCAAGTTTGCAGGGAACTCGAATCGTCATTGGTGCAGGTGATCGGGAGATTCAGGGAGATATTGTGGAGAATTAAGAGGAAAATCAGGAGGGAGAAGGAAAAAAAATAATGTAATTTCTCTTCTTACTTTCCTTACAGAGTACACAGTATGCTTTTCTTCCTTCCAATGGATCCGATCCGACCCTTTTTCGGGATTGTGCTTATGTTTGCTTTTTTGCGGGTTGAAATTCGGTTGGTTACCATTTGTGCGTGTTATTATTCTGGTGTCTACTTACTGCAGTGGTTAGTTACCCAGCTAATTTGATGACACCTAGTTAGTCTCAGCTAAGGAATGCGACCTGTTCGACATACATGAACGGATTACAGCGGTCCGAGGGATTCTGTTGAATGCAACAATCTACGGAGTAGTTAATTCATTAGTAAGAAGAGTCCACTCCATAGTACTACTTCAACTCCGGTTTTCCTGGGAGTACCCGCGTTACGTCATTGTGGTTGAAGCAATGAAGATGTCAGTGCGCACGAGACCAGGGCCAATGCAACTTATACCGAACTTTATACTGGGGATTAGTCCGCTATTCCGGTTGCATACCATTACACAAATGGCAGCTTTACAGTATGTCACTGTATCAATGAATATAGACAGAAGTAGACAGGTACGAGATCCTACTATAGATAGAATTTTGAATTCTTCCCGCCCAGTAAATCTGCAAGGCTTACGCAGATGACCTGCTTATTTCCAACGGCACTGCGCAATAGCCTCCACGGCAGTTCAATCGCATACGGCAGTTGTTGAGCTCGAGTCTTCACGGGAGAGCGAGAGAGAGTCTAGAACAGGCAGGTTGAAGAATACTTGCGACCGTTTTCCAACTCTAACAGGGGCTGATTACGAGCTGCTGCTGCTGCACCTCATCCAGTTGAAGTTAATCTTAATACCTGACAAACAATATCTTTCACCAACTCATCATCCATCATAGTACTCCATCAACGCCATGCCATGCCATGCCAACTATAATAATACCTCGGATCAATATGCCTAACCCAAAACCAAAAAAAGCACATGGACAGAACAAAAAATAAATAGAATTAGAAAAAAACAAAGTTAACCTTCCAAGACATGTACAAAGTTCCGACAAAAACCGCCCGTCTAACTCAATCGAACAGCTTCCATCCAACAAGTGACGCAAATTACCGACCGGGTTTTCTTGATCTAGTCGACCCCGATATACTTTATGAACACATGTGCGCGCAGACACTCTCTCTCTCACACACACACACACACTTTTCTCCCTGATCTGCATGTATCCATCCTTATTCCATCGAAAAAGCTAAATAGAACTATACTAAGATCTCGTGGACCACAACACCACCAACAGCTAATCGTAGTAGTTCGGTGAATCGAACTAGTTTAGATGATGATGTTATCTATCCAGCAACTATACTATGATGGGTTCAGACCATGATGTGAACCTGATGTGACCCTGGAGTAATAATCCCCATCCGAACCCGGTTCAGTCGGCTTTTCTGGCTTTTTTGTCCCCGTCATACCTACCCCCCCCCCCCCCCAAATCCCCCTCTCCACACCCCCCTGTTTTCTCCAAGGGCGCGGCAGCAATCTGTCATCGAGTGTTGTTGTTGTTGGTTGGGGTATGACAAGGAGGTGGGTGGGGGAGGGGACGGGAACCCCGAGATGTCTTTTTCGCCTTCCTTACCTTACTACCTTCCATCATGCTTCTTCTTATCATCGTTGAAAACTCAACTTCGTAGTTTAATATTGCGTAGATGGTTTTACAAACCATACAGAACAAATACATACATACATACATAGCTTCAAGCTTCAAGCTTCTATTTTCAGCTCCTTTTTCGCCTCCCCTCATTTCCATTTTTAACATTTTTTTTTTTTTTTTTGAGTTCTTACTTTTTCTTTGTCACTATCCTATTCCCGTCCCGTTTCCTCATGGGGGGATCTTAATATCGGGCGCATGTGAAGGGTAGGGTAAGGTAGGGAAGGGAAGGGAAGGGAAAGGGAAAGGGAAAGGGATCAGTGCGAGAGATTCTAGATCTCTGACCAGGTACAGCTGGTGGTTCGAGGGTTGGGGAGGAGTTCCCCTCACCTACTTACTAAGTACTTTTCCCTACCCTCCTCTTCAATTTTTATTATTTTTTATTATTATTATGTGCTATTATTATTTTATTGTGATCATTTCTGCCCATGCTACGTGTCAGTGCGCCGTAGCCCAGGCCCGCCGGAGACCACCACCATGGTTTGAATGGATGGATGGATGGATGGCTTCGGTGCAGAGTCGCGTCACCACACACACACACACCACTTTCTCTCTCCCTCTCTCTCTATTTAGGTTTCTTCCTCTTCTTTTTTACTTTACTGCTAGCTAAATCAAGGAATGTTGTATCTCATATCATATCCAAAGTGGATTTTCTATTTCGCTAGATTTCTTTTGGTTTGGGTTGGGGGTGGAAAAACAACAAATAGCAATCTCACTGTAGCATACATCGGTGATAACGTGCGCAAAAGATAAGCGGCGGAAAAAATGTGAAAAAAAGTCCCTGGAATGGTATGGTCCGGGTTTCAAGTCAAGCAACAAGTAGTGGTATCTGGTATCAAGAAGAGCTAAACTGGCTGTTCCCAAGATGCATGTTTGCAATGTTTTTCTGCCGCTTCAAAATAATCAAACGCAGGCTGTCTCACTCCGTGGCCCGATCACATCCATAATTAGAGAAAAACAATAAAACCCTCTTTTCTTTTCAGTATGTCCACCCATAAGAAGAAGTGAAAAAAAGAAAAAGAAAACAAGACAATGAAGACCGTATCCGACCATGCATCGCCAAAGAGAAAATTTCATCTGTACAAGTGAAATTAAGGATGTAATAAAAGGCGTTTGTCCCTCCCATGGCCCATATATAATGACAGCAGACAGCCTCACAATGCAATGTTGAAAGATGGGGTAAGATGAAAGGAAAAGAAAAAAGGGGAAAAAAAGCAAACTAATGACCCGAAACGCATTAGGTCGGATATAACAGCCGTATGATCCCTAGGTGCGCCAATATGCAATGCAGTCGTGATGGTACGTGTCACAAGGATGATAATCAGTCGGCGGTCTTTACATGTTTTGGAAAAGAAAAGAAACGAGAAACAAGGAGTAGCCGTTCGAGTATCGGGTATCATAGTCAACAAACATTACCGATCCAGAAGAAAGGACATGCTTTGACGCAGATAATGGAAGGTGAAGACGGAAGTCGAATCATCAGTCAAGGGCTTCACCACCCCTTCACATGATATTCCCAAGGTCCAAAGTCGGTGTAATGAGTAAAGGATCCGGTTTTGTCCTTACCCTGACTGGTAGCCTTGGTTGCAGCACCACCGGCCTGGCCGGCTGGCTGTCCCTTAGATCCCTTCGGTCCAGGGTATTCTTGTAGATTGGCCATGTCATGTGCCGTATGTCTGCGCTTCAGGAACGCATTGGCAGTCGCACTCTTCTGTTGACGTTCCCACAACAAGTGTCGGCGGAGAGACTCGGTCAATTCAGTAGCAAGCATGTTGCGACGAGTTGTCCGTGGGGAGTGGGCAACAGACTGCGGGGCGGGCTTCATGATGATGGGCTTCGAACGAGGCACGTCGGGACCACGCATCGTCAGGTTCTCATCATCGTCCTCAGGCGGCGATGCAGGGATCGAGGGACCGTTGGGGGAAGTGAGACGCGAGCGTTGGAGGGCTGGACTAGACCGGGTCGGAGCTCCCATCTTAGTAGGCTGATGCATCATCATGGTAAGAAGGGAGCGACGCGAAACAAGGTTGGGTCGGGAATCCACACGCTGGAAGAGTTCCTTCTCCTCAACACTGGATCGGCCGCTTTCCGTGATCGAATCTTCCCAGTCCGAGTCCGAGTCCTCGATAGCACTCTCAGAAACCTCATCGTCCGTCTCGACGGCATCTTCGTTATCCATAGCACGTTCACGGATGGGCTTGATAATTTCATTCTGGTCCCTGAAGGAAGCCACCTTTTTCCTAAGATCTTGGCCACTAGCCGAAGGCTTGCTCAATTCATCAGAAAGAGAACTGCGATGGGGCCCTTGCATTGCCATGCGATCCTCGAAAGAGCTTTCATCGTCGTCACCCGACGAGCCTCCCAGAGTGAACATGCCGCCCTTCTTCTTGAAGGGAGTAGGCTTGAGCTGTGCTGGAGGTTTGGC